GGGAACTGGGCCATAGGAAGCACAGGTGGAATTTGGGAGAAGCAGTCAGGAAACATGACCGTGAGGCCATGGGTGGGTGTCAGGGTGGCGGGGCTCCTGCTGCTCCCAGGCCCAGGAGTGGGGTGCGCCCTGTTCCCATTAGTCCTGGGGCTGGTAGGTGGGCACTTTCCTGAACAGAGCCCCAGGTTTTCCACGCCAACGCTGAGAGTGCTGGGTGACTGTTTCAGGGAAGTGGACCCATGTTCCTGGGCCATGGGGACAATGTGGGGGTGGCTATGGGGACATTGTGGGGGTGTTAGGGTGGAAGACCATGAGCAAAGCAGGTGGAGGGTAATGAGAGAGAGGGCGCAGGACTGGCAGGGCTGGTCCCACCGGGAGGACAGGGCCAAGCGGGGTTTTGCTGTCAGTCTCACCCGACAGGGCTCAGTGTTCAGTCCTCAGTGAAAATCAAGACCCAAGAAAGAGAAGGGAAGAGGCCACAGTACAGGGAGGGTCTCAATGCACAGAGCCTCGGGGAGGCGTGGCAGCACCTTGTGAGGCCGCTGAGGGCCGCTGAGATCAAACCCAGAACTTCACACGGAGCTACATTTCCAATCCTTTTTTTATTTTTTATTTTGAGACAGGGTCTGAGTAAGTCACCGAGTTCCCCATGCTGGGCTCCAACCTCAAATCATCCTGCCTCAGCCTCCCAGGGTGCTGGAATTACTGGCGTGTACCACCACGCCTGCCTCGGTGGGGCTCTTGATGACAAAGACCTGAAGACTAGTTTCAATTGCTGGATCAGAGTGGGAAAGAGCTGGCTCATCTAACTGGAACGTTCCCAGGAGTCAGTGTCAACACACACAGCGATATCTGCATTCCCACGTTTGTTGAGATGGAGCCAAGGGCAACCTGCTAGGTGCCCATCAGTAAGAGAACGGATAAAGAAAATGTGTACATTTATACAAAAGGGTGATTATCCAGTCATTATAAGAATGAAATTTTGTCATATGTAGAAAAGCAGAGGATCTGGAGATCATGGTGTCGAGGGAAATAAGCCAGACTCAGAAAGACAAACATCGCACACTCTTCCTCGTGTGTGTGTGTGTGTGTGTGTGTGTGTGTGTGTCCTGGTCACATTCCTGTGTGGGACAGAAGACCTGATGCCTGCAGCCAGAGGTGGAGAGGTGTACCCTGGGCATGGTCTCAGTGGGTCCAGGGAGGGAAACACACCTTCCAGATTGCACCCCGGGGGGCCACCCCTTCCTACCAGGCCTCATCTGTGCAGGGGAGACCTTCAGGGGATGAGTTAGATCCAAACCACAGCAATGTGGAACATAAACAAGATGACAGCAGGCAGAAGGTCTTATCATGAGATATGAGGGAGAGAAGGAAGAAGGAGAATTTAAGGTGGGCATGGGGGGTGGATTTGAACAAGATCACACATTGAGACACTGAGGTTGGGGAGGGTGGGAAGAAGGGAAGGGATGAATACGTGGAAGAACAAATCTGCCCAAATGAGACCCATTAAAATGTATAAACAATATGTGTTAATTTAAAAGCTGGGGAGGAAAGTCCAGAGCACACTACATGGTGAGGCCCCGTGTGCAAAGCAGGTCCTTCCCTATGGTCGCGCCATCTCAGGCCGGCTCCACTCAGGCCACCCCAGGAATGGCAGCCCTAGGCTCCCACCCAGGGACCCAGATCCGCTGACGTCCCAGGACAGGCTTACATGAGAACCCTCCCCCTGCCAGAATAAATCCCCATCCATAACAGAAGGATGAAGGGGCTGGGGATTTAGCTCAGTGACATAAGCGCCTGCCTTGAAAGCAGGCAGTTGTGAGTTCGATCCCTGGTACTGATAAAAAGGAAAAAGACAAAAAAAAAAAAAATAACAGAAGGATGAAACCCGCTGACGGGCTGAGGCTGGGCAGGTGAGCATCTCTCTTGCAGCTGTGTGTGTGTGTGTGTGTGTGTGTGTGTGTGTGTGTGTGTGTGGCCTTGGTGGACCTGTGCTTGTACTGGATGGTTCATAGCAAGTCTCATCTAAGAGTCTAGGATTTTGTACCTCTCAGCTGTCTTTACCCCATGGAAGGACCACAGGAAAGCTGAAATACAGCAGAAACAGCAAATCATGCCTTATTCAACTTCAGAAATGCATTACCAGATTTTCTACAGGCCCTAATTACATTCTTATCATACTTGATATTCAAATTAGTTGGGGTCCCCTGGGGTCACCTCCACCACCAGGAAGGAGCAATTACTCTGGAATATGCTGAGTGATAAGGGACCAGATATATGCATGGATAATCCCTCAGTGCATAATTAAATACTGCCCCCTGCTTTAAAAAATAATTTTACAAAGATGAGGCCAGAACATTACTGCTTTGGGCTCAATGCTATTTCAAAATTCCAGGCACATGGAGCAAGTACAGAGGCCTCTTCAGAAAAGTTGCAAGGTTTCGGGGAGAGGAGAGCTGGGGGAAGGTCTGAAGCCAGGCAGACAGAAGGGGTTCATAGTGGGTTTATGGGGACACATCCACCTGGCTGGATACCAAAGTTTCCAGCCCCGATTATGGAAGCAAACCCAAGAGGGTCTCGGAAGTTGCATGCTTATCCACTGCAGAACAGGATTTCCCATCCCTATGAATTTGACATGGGGGTGCTCAGTTCATGGGATCTGTGACCCTATAGATGCAGGTATGTGGAGTGGGCCACAGTGACTTGGGCAGTGAGCCTGTGAGAACCAGGGCGTGGCAAATTCCAGATTTATAGAAGAGAGAAAAATCTAGCAGGCAAAATACTATCCCGAGACTGTTTGCAAGAAACATGCTTTTGGCAAAAATATAACCTTCATACAGTCAACCTGCCAGAGAAAACCTTTGTATTCCTAAACCAACCACCAAGAGGTACCTGCTGGAGCTCTGAAATGCTCTTTACACTGCACTGAAAATCTTCCCCTAGGCTCAGACTCGAAGGTCTCTCCTTCTAGACTTCTGAAGCAGCCTTCCAATGCTCCTGCCTGCCCGTTGGCCTTAGCCACCTGTGTCACCAGCAAGCAAGCTCCTAAATTCAATCTCTGAAATCTTTTGATAGCTCCCACCTCATCTTTTCATTTTTAAAATTAAAATGAAGTTCATAACTGGAGTCATGGCACATACCAAAAATCCCAGCTCCAGGGAAGGCTGAGACAGGAAGATGGCAAGTGTGATGCCCCAGCCTGGGCAACTGGCAGGGACCTGTCTCAAAATAAAAAATGGAAATGCCTGTGTTGTAGCTCAATGATAGAGCACCCACAGGTTCGATCTCTAGTCCTGGGAAAAAAGATGAGGAATTTCAAAGAAAATAAAGTTAAATATCTTAGAATGAACAGTTCAGTGGCATTAACAAGTACATTCACAATTTGTGCAACCCCTACCTTTACTGCTGGGTACCTGGCCAAGAGCCCCAGTCTCGTACAACAAAGGCTCAAATAAATGAGACAAGTATATGATTTTAGGGCTCCAGGAGGATCAAAACCCTCTAGCAGAGTTTGAGGCTCTGAGGGCTGAGACAAACAGCTTCTCTAGGCCACCCATATTTATTAAGTTTTCAAACAAAGAGAGGGGAGACTGAGGACAGCACAGGAACTGAGCAGGACCTTGGGAGTCACTTCGGAGACTTCTCCAAGTAGTAAATTATGCCAGTTTAGGAGAACCGTCTTATCTCCAGGAGGACATTTATGGTGGGTGTGAGATACCTACAGTTGCAGTCTCTACTTAATTAAGTAGTTAATTAGTGCTGGAGCCAAAGTGTCTCCAGCTGTGTCTTTATTGTGCCCTTTGAGGTATCTCTGGCCTCACAGGCCACGACAGGCCTCATCCAAGACTTATTTTGAATCAGCTCCGATCACCAGGCAAGGGGCCCAGGCCTAGGACAGACCCACAGATAAACACAGAAAACCAATTAGTGAATTTTAAATTCCGCTCTGAGCAGCTTCATCAAGGTCTCCAACACTCTGCCAGTCCCAAGATCTTTATCATCTCAAAGAGAAACCTTGTTTCCATTGACAATTACACCAGCTGGGCGTGGTGGTGCAAGCCTGTAATCCCAGCACTTGCACAGCTGAGGCAGGAGGGTCACCACAACTTTGAGACCAGCCTGGGATGCCTAGTGAGTTCAGGCCAGCCTGACCTATATAGCAAGACCATCTCAAAAGACCCCACCCCCTTCAAAAGTATACATATGACCCATTTCTCCCAGGTAACTGCCAATCTGCTATCTCTGTGGATTTGCCTGTCCTGGTCATTTCATACAAATAGAACCACATAATATGTGACTTCAGGGTCTGGCTTTTTTCACTGCTCATAACATGTTGTAACAAGTTTCAGTACTTCACTCTTTTTCAAAGCTGCATAATGTTCCGTTGTCCATGTACACCATGGTTTATTTATCTATTTGCCGAGTGGTGGATCCATCTCATCTTATAGGTAACTCACACTTCTCAGTGTGGCCTGTGGGGCGTCCTCATCAGCTGATAATGACATATCTTGAGGTACCCCCTCCACCTACTTGAAGCTCCCATATTTGCAGGTGGCTGTGGTGGCTGGTGCACACTTTTCTGCCTTGATTCATGTTCCCCATGACCAGTCCACCTACTGACACACAGTGGCCCCTTGCTCGTCAGGACTTGTGATTGGCACTGGAGTCAAGCTGCCTGGTAAGAAAAGATTTGGGCATCACCTCTGTGGCGGGGTAATTTAGGGGGAAGCTGGGGATTAACAGAGGTGAGTGAAAGCCAGTGAGGAGCTGGGCTCCTCCTACACCCCGGGGCCTCAAATGACAAGCCATCTAAGGTTCATCTAGGGGATGCTCTGAGGCCAGGTGCCTCCTCCCGGTGACACCGTAAATGCCCCGCACCAATGCTGTTCCATTTCTGTGTTTTTCCGTGACGCCTCTTCCCAGACCAACTCCAGCCCTGTTTAGGGCCTATGCCCTGTGGTGGTCCACTTCCTGAGGTATGAAGGAGCCAGAGAAAATAATTTGGAAAGAAAAAAATTATTTATTAAAGCACAGGCCTGGCGATGCAGCCTCCGTAGCCAATATGGAAGACTGTGCGCCTAACAGCTAAAGGGCGGGGGTTTTATCCTGTAAATCACAAACAGCTGCTGGTCTCACAATGCAGGGGGGTGGGGTTTGCAGCACACTACAGAACAGGAATGCGGTGGTTACATTTCTTGGGAAGAACAAGGTTCAGGTGGGCTAATAAGCAAGTTTAGATTAGGTAAACATCCTGTTCTGCTCTTAAAGTTACCTTTGATCTTTCTCTTGTGTCTGGGGAGACTTATGAGGGTTTTTTTTTTTATATAGGTTACAACATGCCCCAGCCTCAGCACTGCACACAGCGTGGCTGCAGGTCTTCCCGGGGCCCTCGCCTGCTTCCTGACTGTACCCCAGCTGGGTGCCCTGTGGCATCTGTGCTGACTCCTGGTGATGAGTGTCTGTGTTGTGTTACAGAAGCCAGCACGGAAACCCAGACATTACACCACTGATGTGAGGGGCAGAGAAAGCTCCTTGCTTCGTGCTTGCCTGCTGGTGAGCATACATATTTCAGCCTCTAAAGAATCCTTCCTCTGTTGCTAGACAGAAGTCCTGGTCAAGGTGCAGAGGAGAAAGGTAGCGGAGTGGCACTGGTGCCAAGTGGCATTGGTGCCAAGCCATCAGGAGAAATTGGTCACGAAAGCATTGGGATCAAAGCCTTGGGTCAGCGTGCAGAACCCCGAGGGCATCACCAACTTCACTGTACACATTGTCACCACCCCTGTACTCATCTGCACCCCAAGCCGGTAATTTATCAGCTCAGGGAATTTAGGGAGCAGAGAGCCCCTTGCTCTGCCCAGGAGTGTCCCGCTGGCCACACAAGTGTACTCACCTCTGCAGTCACCAGTGAGAGCTAAGCACTAAGGCTGGCCCACAGGAGGCCATCAGGGACTGTACCAATGCCCAGCAGGGCTGGGGAAGGTGCAGAAGGTCAGACAGAAGGAGGACAGACGGTCAGACAGAATGAGGGCCTTTAAGCTGGGCATTGTGTCCCCAGCCATCAAATGGCCTTGGCTCTCGACAGTGGAGGGTCACCCACTGGCCAAGACACTAGAACAGTGTCTAGATGAAAGGACATGATCCCCCACAGGCCATGCAAGAAAGTCACCCTTTGAGGTGACTGTTATTTAAAACAACAGAGAAGCAGTCAAATTCTGGGAAGGAGATTTAGGAAAAAGAAAGTCTCAAATTCGACCCAAGATCACAGGAGATGTCCTCTTTCTCTAAAGCCCAGAAATCCGGCAGAGCCCAGGAGGTTTCCTGAACCCCAGGGCAGGCTTCACAGGCTCCTCTCCGCTGGACCTGAACCGCATATCCGCTGGGGTCACTGAGTCCTCCTTAGCCCTGTCCAGCTGCAAGCACAGAGCTGGTCCAAGCTGGCTGTTACTTCCCTTGATCGGGCCCTATGAAACGGGTGGGAAGCAACCTAAAAAGCCTTTTGGACTCAAGTTTCTCTTACAAAACATTTTTAGGAGTTAAGCAATTAATCCAAACACACATGGATTCAATTTCCCTACGATTGAAATGGTTTAAAAAATAAAAAACCAAAAGAGCTCAGAGCTCAGGGACCAGCCCTTATGAGCTGTCAACCTAAGACACATGGAAGGAAATAGCAGGGCATGAGGCTGCCCTCTCCCCGTGAGGGCTCCAAGGCCCGATGCTGACAGGAGATGGTGCAGGGATGGAGGACCTGCTTTCCCACGGCCAGTCTTAGGCAGAGAGGACACAGGCAAGAGAGGGAGAGAAAGAAATCCGCTGGACCTTTGCGTCTGCACAATGCTTCTCTCCTCCAACTTTCGCTTGAGGCAAAAGCAGAAGTCCAAAGGCAAATGTTCCCTTTTCTCTCGGCACAGATTGAAAATTTGGCCTCCAGTATCCGCTTGGGAGCGCAGGGCCTGAACAGAATCACGCAGAGGCCTTTGCATGACCTCCCTGAGCACAGGAATGAAAGACAAGACAGTGTCCGTGTACAATTCCTAGGGTCAAGCAGCAAAGCAACCAGCACCTCGGTTCCCCCTGGCAAGGTGGGGGAGAAGAAGGTGACACAACACCGACTTTGGGAAGCTGGATGTGACAGGAAGAATGATATTAAAAACTTTTTAGGCATCTTGATATCTTCACCCAAACTCGCTTGCAGGAGACTGTCCAGGTCAGCCTCCCTGCTTTCCAGCTGCCTGCCCTTCCTTCCCACCAGGAGAAGAAAATGGCCTGTCTCAGCTAAGAGCAACCCAGCTCTGCACTCTCCAGCTAGACCTGGGTTCCCTCTCAGTTCCTTTGTGTCTCACACTCTCACTCTGCCTCCCCCTCCAAGAGCTTCCCGTTCACCAGAGAGGAAGTCGCTGTCTTTACTGGCCACGGGCTTCCTAGACCTGCAGATTGGAGCCCAAGGAGCACAAGCTGCTGCCCTGGTCCTGGCCCACTCTGGTCCCCTTCTTTATTCCCCTGCACGAAAACAGTCACCTCCTAAGAGACCTCCCTCTGATGCGTTTCATTGTCGCCGCTGCCCCATTCCTCCTGGAGCCTGTAACCTCTGTCAGAGAGGGACTTTTATGATTTGTGTTCAGTGTGGAGCCTCGGTCCTGAGCAGGCCTTGGCCCACATCATGCAAAGCGTGGATGACTGGATGGATGGGCGCGGGAACAGTGTGACCGGAAACACAGCACAGACAGCTGACTCTGCTTGTTATGACAAATGCTCCCAGCTCCAAGTTCTCAGGTACCCTCCCAGCCTTTTGGCATCCGTGGATAACACCTGATCACTCTGCCAGATGGCTTACCCAGAAAGCTGCTGGGAACCAGCTTCCCGTTACTCTGAGACTGACAGCGAGTTTTAATCCCCATCCCGAGTCCTTGTCCCGAGTTCTTAGGTGCGAGCATCGCCTCCAGTTTGCCCCAGTCTGAGCCGGTTCCAGTGGGCTTGGCCCAGTGCCATCTCCTTGGGTGGCCTCTGCCCTTTGGGGCCCTCTCTGGTCCTGTTCCACTGCCCACTTCCTCAGGAACATCTCTCACCCCTGGGACGTGGGTCCTTGCATAAGGTCTGACACCGATTCCAGTGCCAAGAGAAACAGTTGGGGGCACAGATGTGGCAGGAGCTATGGTGCGTTCATTCATACGGAGCCCATACTGTCCAAGGGGCATTATTATACCCATTTAAAAGATGAGAAAATTGAGTTTCAAGGTCACTCGGTAAAGGACACTGCCAGCATTTGAATAGACCTCTTCTTCAGACATAAATGCCAGGGTCTTTCACCACTGTCTGTGTGTCCCCAGTCAACAATGGCAGCTGTAAAACACCTCTGTCCTCATTGGTGAACAACTTGGGAAGGACACTGTGCTTATTTGTATCCATGTGGCCGCCAGGCAAGCCACCAGACTTGCTGGACGTGGCTTCGCAGTATGAAGAGAGGGTCTGTCCAGCCAATGTGTCCCCCAAAACTTGCGTATGTCCCCTTTGCAGAATGAAAGACGCTGACAGTTGTGACCCATGCCACTCTTGAAGAAATCACTACAGGAAAGAAAAAACCCATCTTGCCATCTTTTTAACTGATCATTGCCTATTTGGGAGATTTATGCTATCATTAATCACCGCCTTCCCTTCATTCATCTTAAATATGAAATTGGTGAGGAATGTTCCTCTTCGTGCTTTAAAAAAATAATTAGCTGCTACGTCATGTTGCCCGCAGTGCCACAGAAGCGGGTGATTAAATTCGGAATATTAAAGCCCCATTCATCTGCACTCAGCTTAAACTCTACTTCATCTTGTGATGCTGCTTATTATTTCTGACACTGAAAGATATTCGAATTGCCAACAAGGTCATTCACTGAAAGATGTTAGGTCAGCCATTAGTCGATGGTGGAATTGGTGACCAGACTGAGGACTGCTCACAGGTCAAGGAGACTGCCCCTGGGGGGTGTCACGCTAGAAGGAAGCAACACCTGCTCCTGGGGAGGGGGCTAGGGGTGCAGGTGCCCCCTAGGATGTTGGCGCTCACCTCCTCTCCACCACCCTGCATGGGGTACCTGTGACTCTGGTGGTGTCTTCTGCGGGGACTGCGCCAGCTTCCAGGGCCTCCTCCTCTTTCTTTGGGACCTCAGGAGCCAAGCTCCCCTGAGGACACTCCCACCACCCCCAGCCAGCCTCACCTGTGGCAGCTGTCACCAAGCTTTTTGGTATCAGGCATCAGTTTCATGGGCAATAATTTTTCCACCGTGGGGGTTAGCGGTGTGAGGAAGATCAGAGACCTCATGACCCAGATCCCTCACACATGCAGCCCACAGTAGGGTCCGTGCTCCGGTGACAATCTGAAGCCGCTGCTGATCTGCCAGGAGCCAAGCTCAGGCATGACCCTAAATACAAGTGAAGGTTTGACCCCTCATCCCCAAGCTGCTCGAGTCCTGCTGCTTGGTGTGGTACCTAACAGTGCGAGAACTGGTACCGGGCTGTGGGCCAGGGCTTGGGCACCCCTGACCTGCCGATGCCCCTGCATGCACAGCCCCATGTAGAACTCCTGCCATCTCTTTTCTTATTGGGGTCATCAGCACCCTGAAAGGTGATAGCTCTGTGGTCACCGTACAGGTGAGGAAGCCCAAGCCCAAATTCCAAAGCAGGGGTCACCAGGCTGGCAGACGGCAGCCCTGAGTTCTCAAGTCTGTTGGCTCCGGGAATCTTTAGCCTCACCCTGGACGCTCCCACAGCCTGACAGGCTCAGGGATGCCGAGGCAAAGCTGAATAGAGATGGTTCAGGAAGGACGGTGCCTTAACCATTCACTCCACGCCACACACTGATGCCCCGCCTCATCTTTGCAGTGACGTCATCGGAGGGGACACAGGACAAGTCACCTGCAGAGGGGAAGGTTCTTATTCTCCTCCTGTCCTTCAGAATAGAGACGCAGAGGATGGGGGTATAGTTCAGTGACGGAATGTGAGCCCGCCATGCACCAGGCCCTGAATTTGATCCCCAGAACTGGGGAAAAACAGGTCTAATCTCTACCTTTAGCTCTATTTTAGCTTATTTCTTCCTCCCTTTTAATATCATTTGCTGCTGTGTTGAGCGAACCCAAATCACTCCCAACCATCCTCCTCCTCTATCTGTGGAGGAGCCAGGGAGGAGGCCGTGCCCCTTTTGGTGGTCTCGTCTTTGTTGGCTATGCTGGGTCTGCACTTGGGGTACAGTTGGGGGACTGTGTGAGGCTGAGGAGGTGTCTCGGCACTGCTGAAAGTGGCGACATGGAAGAGTGAATGGGGTCTTGCTGGGGGAGGGATGCAGGGTTTGTGCCAGGTCTGAGCAGGGAGAGAGGGGCAGCAGGAGCAGGGCAGTCCAGCAGGCACGCTTTTGAATAAATGCAGCCAGGGGACAGAGAGCAGCCGGGAGGTCAGGACTAGTTCAGGAAGGAGTGGGAAAGACGTTAGAGGCGATGACACAGAGCAAGCTGTGACAAGAACGTGGTGCGTGCTGCTGCCGAGTGCCACCCACCAGAATGCCAGGCTCATAAAAATGCCACCAAGTGTCCTCACCACCGTGTTCACCCGATCTTCTCCAAAGTCAAAGTGACCACAAAAAGTAAAGGTTTTGAATCAATTCAGGACATCAAGGTAGTCACAAGAGTGCAACTAAAGACACTCATGAGAGAGGACTTCCAGAAGAGCTTCAGAAAATGGCAAGGACGATGGGAAAAGCATGTTTGGGTGGGGAGGGTGTTCCGAGGGAGGTTAATGGCAGCGTGTATCTTACTGCAGTACGTTTTCAAAGTTTAAACATTTAATGTATTTTTGAATCACACCTCACAGACAAAAGCCGGTTTTCCCGGCCCTCTGAGCTACGTGGTCCTGCCTGAACCTCTGGGTCCTCTCTCTGCCTCCCCCCTCCCACCCCCAGGGCTCCAGACCCTGCTCCTGGAACCTGCTCTCCCGTGGCCCACGAATCTCTCAGTCCTGGATGGAGACTGTTGAACTGAATCCAACTGATCTGGGGACCTCTGACACATCCCCTCCCATCGCTGATGAGAAAATGCAGCTTAGCCGGTCACTGAGTCTGTGCCTCTTGCACCCCTGGCTAGTGAGCAGCTGCATAGGAGAGAGGCGCTTGACTTTCTTACAGGCAGAGGGGTTTAAACTTCACAGAGAGACTTTCTGTGGTCAGGATTGGCATGGAGTGGCATGGAGTGGCATGGAGCAGGTTCCCGTTACACAGCTTCTCTGCCTCAGGCCATTGCTCGCCAGACATGTCCCCACGGGGCAGGCCTGGGAGAGACTTGGTACCAGCTTGACCCAGATCACCAGTTACGTGACAGCCACGGAACCAAGCACAGCCAGTCCAGGAATCCTGAGCCAAGTGGGCTGGCAGGCCCAGTGCCCTGACTTCTTTCTAAATGGCTGGGGAATTCTCTTCTCCCAGGGCGTTGTCCAGAGCCTGGCTGTGGTTCTGGCCCAGAACCTCTCACTCAGCAGGATTCCCGGAAACATGAACCCCAGCCTGCAAAGACAGCCCAGTTCCTAGTTAGTACTTGAGCTGGCTACCACAGAGGTGACCAAGAACAGCCCAGCTCCCAAGGGGGCCACCACAGACTTCATGGGGTGGGAGCCTGGGACAGACTGGACAGAATGGTTTCCTTGGCTGACCATTTTGCAGAGCGCAGGTGCTTCTGTGTTAGCAGAATGGGATTTCAAACTCAGGTTCAGAAATCAGACTGCAGAAAGCTGGCATTGTTCAAGGTGGCAGCTGGGTTCTGCACATTAGAGAGGTAAGTGTAAGTCTTAGTACATCTGGCACAAATACGGGGGCTGGAATAGAGGTGGGGTCACAGCTTAGTGATAGCACACCAGCCTGGCATGAGTTGGATCTGATCCCCATCCTGCAAATAAGTAAATACACAAGCAAAATGGCCTCTTGGCAATTTTTTTAGCATGAAATATTCTGGAGGGAAAGTATTTCATGGTGACTTCCAAACCAAGTGCATTGCAAGAATAGGAGCAATTAATTCTTTCACGTTAGAGGTGCTTCACACGGACGAGGCACATGCTGGACCTGGGATGCCCAGTGACAAACAGCAGCTGGCTTGGGACTTCACTGCCCTACCGCTCCGCCTTCCCTCGGAGCAGAAGCCTGGCCCTGTGCTCCGGTTCTGGAATTGCCCAATGGAGCTGATCATGCTGCAAGAATCTAGGGGAGAAAGGGAAAAGGGGGCAAGGGAAGGAGGAAAACCAGAGGAGAACCCCGCCCTCCCTACCATCCATGACCTGAGGTCACTGCCAGCCAGTAAAGGGATGTCAATGTGCAGCCCTCTCTGGGCCCTGATCTTTAAAGAGGGCTGAGAATTTAATGCTTCCCTTTCCTCGGCGGGGAGGCTGAGCTGGGTGTATGGGGCAGCGTGGATCTGAGAGCAGAAGCAGGGGTTTCCAGAGCGGCCACAGGCAGTGAGAGTGAGGGGGGATGGAATCTATCGGGGACTCAGTGGCTTAGCTAGCAAGACCCTTTCTCCACATAAATAATAATAAATAAAAAGAGCTAGGGATGTAGCTCAGCACAAAGACCCTGGGCTCAGTCCTCAGCGCTGAAAAGAAAACAAAAGATAGAAGAGAATATTAGGCAGCCAAGATAGATAAATATATTCTAGGCAGTGAGCCAGGGCTGGGTCCTCAAAAGAGCCAGTGCGAAAGATCAGGTAACCTGTGGGGGAGACAGACACCTCAGCTGTGGGCCCACCTCAAGACCAAAGATCAAACAGATGCACCCACACACTTCCTAAGGCTAGACATCAGGGATTGATATTCGAGACAGGTATTGATCACCTTGAGGAGCCCGAAGAGCCGCTAACCCCCTACAGGGAGAGCCCTGTTCTGTATTCATGGGCGCTCGCTGCGCAGCTTCCCCATTTGATCCTGATTTAATCGATTTTACCTGAGCAATTACCCACGTAATCTTATTGGTTGATCATAGTTCTGTCTCACCTCGTGTCCACCTTGTGATTTCCCCTTTTTCCCCCCCCGCCATGGACCTGCATCATCTCATTGCTTTGCTCTATAAAACCCTAAAAAAAGCAGGGGCCCTGGCAAGCCACTCAGGACTCCTTCTGTCTGTCTCTGACAGAAGCTTTCTTTCTCTCAATAAATATATTCTGCTCTTAATTTCTGTTGTTCCTACAATTCATTCTTCAATTTTAGAGAACACAAACTCATACCGGACGTTTGGAACCAGAAGATGAGATTGCCCCGGTGTTACCGAGGCCACAGAAGCTGGGAAAGGACAGGAGGGGTCCTGCAGGGGCCTTCTGAGGGAGACTGACCCAGCCGATGCCTTGATTTCAGCCTTCTGGCTGCCGGACGGTGCTGTTTCAGATCGTGAGGCTTCTGGAAATTTGCTACAGGAAACTCAAAGAGGGGAGCACTGCCATCTCTCCAGCCACTTGGTACACACACAGGAGGCAGCACAGAGCTGGGAGCATGAGGAGAGAGCGGAGGAGCCTCCCAGGGTGTCCGTTCACTGACGCCTTGTCTCCTAGTGTTCCTGCAGCCTGGGCTGACATGAAGGGCCCCCAAACCTGCAGAGCCTCCAGCTGTGGGACCATATCACCTGGCTGGCCTGAGAGCATGGCCTGAAAGGACACTGACGGTGAGGACTGGCAGCTTCCTCGGCCCCTTCAGGACCCCTGTATTCCTATCTATCTGTGGGTACAGCTTCAGCTGTGCCTCAAGGTTCCAGACAGAGGGTCGGAGCTTAGGGCAAAGGCTCTGAGGACTCCTCAGCTCTAACCAGAGGCAGGGAGGCACGTGGTGGTGGCATCAAGGTGACTGAAGGAAGGTGAGGTCCTCAGCACCTTTAGCAGCTATACAGGATGATGTAGGCTGTAGAAGACAAGGACATAGGTGGACGGAAAGTGACTGACTCCCCAGAGAAGACCAGGTGGTAGGGCGAGAGGGAGAAAGTACCATCATCATTCAGCAGGGACAGAGCCAGGCCAGGGCCCTGGGGGCAGGGGCAGCTGTACCCCAGGGGGCAGGCAAGGTGTACCTGGCTGTTTGTTTCAGCAAGAAATTAGTGCAACCCAAGCTACAAAGAATCAACAGGGAACCTCTACCCCAGGACTCTGGGGAAGCCCCAGCATGTGGGGTCAGGAACTGCTTCTGGGGTTCATTCTGATATATTTGGGGAGGCTCATTTAGTGACTTTCTTCTGGGTTTCCAGCTGATTTGAAAAGGAATAGTAAGTTCTCTGCATTGCGACCCGGACGATCCAGCTGTCCAGTCCCAACATCTCCAACTGCCCCAAGTGCAGCCTGTGGTCTTTATCCCCATTCTGCAGCTTTTACTCTTAAATGCCTGACTCCTCCCCTCGCAGATCTGTGCAGTGCCAGGGTGCAGAGCTGGGCCCTCACTGGGTGCACAGCCAAAGACTCGCTTTCTACTGCCCGAGAGCCCAGCTGTCTCCTGTGCCTCTTGCCCCGGTCTGTAGACGTGAGCAGGTGCCACAGAGCTCTGGGCTTGGGTCAGAGAGAGCCTCCACACCAGGCAAGAGCCTAGAGGTCAGTTTGGGCCTGCGACTCACCCACCAGCAGGTCCTGTTCTCCACACAGAGCAGACTCCGCCTGCTCCTCAGCCTTTCCCTGCCCACCCCCTTTGCTGCCCCCTCCAGAAGAAGACCTGCTTACTCAGGAAAGGATAACTGACTTACACCAGCTGCAGAAGGCTTTGTTACTGCATTTTGCATCAGAATTAGGTCGCTGTTGCAAAGTGCTTGCAAAGTTCCTTTCTTGAGCGTCTTGGTGGACACTGGAAAATTAACCTAAACCAAACACAAACAAAGCAAGTTTTATTCCTTTACCTTTTAGACTAGAGCAGACATGCAGTATCGTGCAGAGACGGGGTGCAGCCAGTGTTTCTTTCTTACCATGTGGACCATCAAGGGTGCGCAGGGAGAAGAAGAATTCAGGCAGTTGCGTTAGCCCTGCACCGCAGAAGTAAGCCGCAGGACATGCCTCTGGGTTTCAACACGGACAGTGAAGTTCCCACAGCTGCAAGTGTCAGAAGCAGCCAGAGCTTTGACCCTGAGTGTATACGAAGCTGCAGAGATGAGCAGAACCCCAAGAGGTAAGTATGCAAGCTGGTGTGGCAGGAAGCGTGACGGGGTGGCGAGACCCTGAGACAGGACCTGGTCCCCCAAGGTCTACTCGCTGTCTTTATTAAGCCGGTTTCTCCAGGTGTCATTTGCCTCTGTCCAAGGAGCTAGCTCAACTCAACTTCCTGTTTTCCTTCCGTCTCTGAAGTCTTTGATTCTACAATGAAGAATTATGGAAAATAGGGATATTTAGAGAAGACACACAGTACCATCTGCTTGTTTCATTAAACCTTGCTGTCCCCTGCGATCTGTTCATGAGGATCTGTTTTGGTGATAGAGCTGGTCATAATAAAGAGCTCAGCCTGTAAATGACCAGAAATTGGTTTGTGATCTTTGATCCAGGAGTCTGTCGGAATAAAGGGTCAGACACTGAAACAAAAGCTTGTGTACAAAGAGATGCCATTACTTTTACCAGCAGAGGAAAAAGTAGAAAAGCAAAACAAAACAAAACAAAAGAGAGTTAATAAAACAAATTATGGGGTAGCAACTAAGTGCCTTGGGTGATATTTTAAAGTGTTAGAAGCTATTTATAGTGTAAACACACACGGAGATGATACATTCACTAACAGCACAGTATTCCGAGAGACTGGATTCAGGCTCAGAATCCTCCTCAGGAGTGGACCCTGAGCACCCATTATCCATCAATTACCCCACGCGTTAGGATGAAATCTACTCAGCACTCAGCACCAAGTCCTACAGGAAGCGGCGTCTCAGTCAAGGTCAGAATTACACAGAAACTCATCGGAAAATGTGTAGGTCAGAGAGCCAGGAGCAGGATAAAATCATGCCGTCGGGGCTGTGGTCATTTCTCTCACGGCATCGGCTGGGACGGAGTGGGAGGCAGGGTTCTGGAATATTCCAGCTTGGGAGGATAAAATGCAGCAGGTGGACGGGAGGAGGGGAGAAGCTAAGACGGTCAAGCGAAAGTGGGTGCGGTATCTTTGGGTTCACTTCCTGCCACCTTGCCTGGAATTGCAGGAGAAGAGAGCTGCCCTTCTGAGACAGTTCAGAGACAGTTTCCCTTATTTCCCCAGAGGGCAGAGTGACTGGGAGCCCCGAGGGCTGCGGACCCTGGAGAATGCCAGGCCAGCAGGCCTGAGGGGACACTGGGTGCAGTTTTTCCTAGTTGCTGGAGGATTGATACACTTCTTGGGATGTTCTCTGAGAAGTGGGCTTGCCTTTGCCCTTTGGTCACCCAACTCAGGGTACTGCCCAGGGGTCTCAGGCTGGCAAATGGGAGACAGATGGGTCCCTGTGCGTCCTGAGGAAGAGACCAGGAAAGGTCACATGCCTCCTCCCTGCTGGGGAAGGTCGGGGATGAGGGTCTCAGGACCAAAAGATTAAGCACTGAGCACTGGAACTTTCTGAGCTGCCCAGGGGACAGAGAGCAGTAATCCTGCGACCCAGACACGTGGGCCCACTCCTGCACCCCGTGACTTCTCCCCAGGCCAGAGTCCCTTCCTCTGCTGACACCTTAGCTATCCTGGTGAGACTGTTTGATCCCAAGGACTGGCTTTTCCTGATTAGGCCCTTTCTTAACCCTCTCTAGGAAGGGGGAAGGGGGAAGGGCAGGCAGACCTGCTGGTATCTTCATTTCTTCTCCCCCAACTCCATAAATCCACTCCAAGCCGGTGACATTTGCAGAGTGTATTTTCATGGGTCTCCCTAATCCCTGCAGAATATTAAGGCTACGTGACTTTATCTTTGGTTACATTAACTTCAATTTTCCTTATGAGTAAGTATTTGGCTAAAAGTTAATATAGTGGCGTTGAGAAGAATCTAATGATAGGAAAAAGACTAATTTCATCTCTGGCTGCTCAGATCCCGGAGTATACCGGGGTTAATGTAATTAACTCACGATCTGAGCCCGGCTTGTGTACATACACTGACTCTCCCCACTGGAAACGAGATTAGATTTTATTACTCTATATATCCTGGTTATCTTCACCGCGCCTCCAATATTACTTCCCACAATGACTTCGAGGCTCTGCACTGCGATGGAAACGCAGAACCATCTGGTACTGAGCCCAGGCAGTTTATTTAAGGATTTAATTAAATGCCCTAAATGGAGAGCTTCTCTGAATTAACATTTTAAATGTGACTTATTGCAGGTTTAATATTGTCTTAATGCCAACCTGGGAAACTCCGTCGCCAAGTTGTTGACGTTCAAATTGAATTCATTTGGGTGGCTCCAGGGGGACCCATTAATTAATCTAAACAACTAATGGGGATTGGTTCTGACTTTTGATGAAGATTATTTACTGAGACAATTTGCAATGAATAAAGAGTCACAGTAGGCAAATGCTTAATTGAATTCAAAAAAGTCTCATTGTGTGTAATATCAGGATGCATCAGTGAGTGAGCTTTGAAATACCATGAAAGGGCGGTTGCTTCAATCGCCTTAGCTGTGCGCTAATAACAAAGCCAATGGGTAATTACATTTCCCGGGTAATTGGCTGCTTGCAGAAGGACAACAGGTCTAGTTGGATAATTGTTTCCTTAGAAAAAAAGCACAAACTTTGCCCTTGGATGGTGCATGGCTCCACGTGTTACCGGGCACAGCTCCTGGTCACAGAAATCCCAGGGCCATGCCGTGAACTCCAGAACTCTGCAGCCTGCGAGAGCTCTTCTGTCCACCCCAGCCCCCTCTCTGTCACCCAGCTGCGGGGCTCCCAGGTGTCCCCATGAACCCAGTTGCAGTGTGCCAGTGTGTGCTTATCTGTCCATCCAGCACTTGGCTCTCACCTTCTGGGTCAAGAGCTCTGCTTGAAGGAGAATGAAGGTCCAGACAGCAGAAAGAGACAGAGTGGCCCAGGCAGCAGCTGGGGGATCCGTTTCTTCCCTCTCCAGGCCACCACAACTTGTAACATCCTGGTCCCTCCCCGAGGTCCCAGCAGTGCCTACTGCAGACAGTCTGTCGAGGTCTCTGAGGCTCACCGTTCCCCCGCAACACCTACCCCTACATCCTGAGACTTTACCTGGCTTCCTAAAGTGTGGCTCAGGGCTTAAATCCTCAGCCTCTGCTGGACACATCAGAAATGCAGGTTCCCAAGCCCCATCCATCCCAGAGAGCAGAATCTGCATGATATTAAGACTTCCAGGTACCTGGAGCACCCCACATACACACTGGAGAAGCCTCCGGAGCTGTCCCCTCTAGAGAGTCCCCCTAGTGCCCTATCTCCTCGGGTTTCCTGGGGCCAGCGGACAGGATGAGTAGCTTGGGGAGCTGGAGTGGAGACAGCCAGAGAGGACGTTTCCTTTGCCTCTGGCTCCTTCTCTGGGGCCTAGGTTGGAGCAGGCAGCAGCACAGGAAGGACAGACTTCCATGGACTCTATAGCCACAGGCTTGGCTTCAGTGCTAGCAGGTCCTGGATAAGACCATCCTGAAGATAAAATCCTTCAAGAACCGTAAACGGCCCACATCTGGCTCAGTGTCATGGTCAGGCGGGACCAGGTGGAATGTCACTTGTACATCAGAGCACCCAGAGGAGTGGGAAAGGGAAGTGGGTAGTGTGCCCCCAAACTGCATGACTCCAGATTGAGAACTAGTGAATATGGTCTGCTTTGGAAATAGGGCTAAGACAAGGTCACACTGGGTCACAGTGTTCTCATAGGAAGAGGCATACACACAGGGAAATGCCATGTGAGGTCAGAGGCAGAGACTGGAGCCATGCAGCTAAGAGTCTATGGACTCCCAGCACCCCCTACAACTGGGAGAGGCCTGGGGCCACCCTTCTCAGACCCTGCCCACACCTTGCCCTCAGACGCTGGTCCTGGAACTGAGACACGACACGCATGCGCTAACGCTGCCCAGTCTGCAGTGCAGCACTGTAAGGAGTGGACAGCAGAGGGCGAGGTGAGGGAGCTCCATGGAAGATTACAGAGGGCCAGGCAGACCACTGGGTCCTTGGTCTCCTCAAAGTGTGGCTGCCCACAGGCCACCCTGGGCACCAGTGCTCACCTACCCATCCCCGCTAAGTCAGGCAACCCTGTCAACCCACCCCTTTTGTGATCATACTTCTGTGGTTTTCCTGAGCAGGGACCTTGGTGATGGTGCTAAAAGCTATTTTGAAAGGGAGAAAAAACCCAATAAACAGTGTCAGATAAATTCTTCAGTTTGAAGGAGCAAGGACCATACGGGATGTCTCCAAGTCTTGAGACCTCACAATGGAGCTTCTTCCTTTAAACATGGTTTGTGGGGCAACGAGTGACAAACTTAGCGTGAGTTTTGTTGTGTTTAAGAACAACAGACCAGGTGTGATGATGTACACCTGTGATCTGTTGTTCTTAAACAAAAAGAACAGCACACATAGAGAAGGAGAGTTAAAAATCACTGAGGATTCTTTTAAAACAAAACTACAACAGAGCTACTCCCTGCCGTTAGGTAATCGGATTCCAGGCTTTCTGAGTGTGAAGACGTGAGCAGCTCCAAGTGGCCCCTCTCCTTCTCCTCCATCCTTCCCGGCATAGGTGTGACAAGCCCTAAGGAGAGACGCACAACAGCGCTCTGCACCCACCGAGCCTTCTGCACCGAGCCCCTCTCACCAACAGATGAACATCAGGGCTCTTGAGCTCAGAGGCACAGTAAAGCAGGCTGAGCTACCCCACTGCTCTCCCTATGAAGGCCACACCACAGTCACAGAGCCACATTGTCCCTCAGAAGCAGAGCTGGGGTCTCAGAGACACAGAGGTGTAACACTTGTGCTTGCTTTTCCCGTAATTTCCAGCTATTGTGGACGAACAGAGCTTGTTATTCTTGGAACTCATGGGGCCCAAGGCCAACGGGGAGGTAGGCAGATGGGACAGAGCAAGAAGCATCAACAGGAACTAAAGCCGTGTCCACTGCAGATCCACGTAGCAGGTCCCTAGCACGGCACGGTACCAGAAATGCTGCCAAGGGACTGATGGGAAACACAGCTGAATGCTTCACCCAAAATTAAAGACCATAAGCTTGTCAGGGTTAAAATGTAATGTGCCCCCCAAAACTCATGTATTAAAGACTAGATCTTCAGTACAGGAATTATGAGTGGTGGGGCTTAGAGAGGTGTCTGGATCATGAGAGCCTCACCTCATCCGTGGGCCAAATCATTAAAGGGATTGTAGCAAAAAGGTAGAAAGTGGGAGGAGGAGGGTGGCAGGGGGTGTGCTTTGGGGTGT